ACAGAAAAGGTTTAAGCATTTCACTCTTTAAAGAACAGAAAGTTTATAGAAAAGTGATATGCCTGATTACAAAACGTTAGTGATAAAAATAAAACCTGATCTGTATACCTAGCCCTGAATTGTACCCCACAGCTTTAAAAAAAAAAAATTAGCCGGGCTCAGTAGCTCAGCCTGTAATCCCGCGCCTTTGGGAGGCTGAGGTGAGTGGATTGCCTGAGCCCGCGGGCTGGAGACCCGCCTGGGCAGCGAGACCTCATTTCTGCAATAAATCAAAAAATTAGCCGGGCGTGGTAGCGCGCACCTGTAGTTCCAGCTACTTGGAAGGCTGAGGCAGAGGATCGCTGGAGCCCAGCGGGCCGAGGCTGCGGTGGCCGGGAGCGGCCACTGCACTCCAGTCTGGGCGACAGGGTGAAACTCCAACTCAAAAAAAAAAAAAATTTCCGGGGAACCCACCCCCTGCATACCTTATCTCTATAATGACTTACTGCCCAAGGGTCTGGAGCCAATGGTCTTAAGACTGCTTTGTAGATTGCTTCATTAGTATAAAACCTAAGAATGATGATAGATATTTTTCAGATTTTGTATTCTGATGGACTCATGGTCTCATCCATACCCGGGATACATACCAAGGAGCTGGCTTCACCAGTCCTATGACCCTCTCCCAGAAACGGGTTCTAGGCATGAAGACAGTTTCAAAACCCTTCCATGACTTCAACCCCACCCAATCAGCAGTGCCCATTTACTAGACCTCTGCCTACCAAGTTATTCCTTAAAAAAAAAACCCAGCCTAGCCGGGCTCGGTGGCTCAGCCTGTAATCCCGCGCCTTTGGGAGGCTGAAGTGAGTGGATTGCCTGAGCCCGCGGGTTCGAGACCCGCCTGGGCAGGCAAGACCTCATCTCTACAATAAATCAAAAAAATTAGCCAGGCGTGGTAGCACGCGCCTGTAGTTCCAGCTACTTGGAAGGCTGAGGCAGAAGGGTCGCCGGAGCCCAGTAGGTCGAGGCTGCGGTGGCTGGGAGTGGCCACTGCACTTCAGTCTGAGCAACAGAGTGAGACTCCAACACACACACACACACAAAAATTGCGAAATCTGATCTGTCTTTGGCTCTGTGTATGACAATCCTAAAGTGCTCCTGAAAAAAAAAGGAAAATGTTATTGAGTCGCACAGATGGGAGAATCGAGTAGAAATGGACTCACAAGCAATCAAGGTTACACTGCGTTCACAACACATAACATTCCTCAGTGGATTATGGGTGAGAGTAGGACTTCAGTGACAGGGGTCAGTCCCAGATACTCAAAGGTAAAGACGGTTCTATCATTTAGCAAATTTTTGATAGAGCTGGTGCTGGCACGATTCTTATGTCTTACGTTGCAGAAGTGGGTCAGTGGACTTGTTTCTGCAAATCCTGGCTTTTATGATTACACTTGTATGAGGGCACACATTTGCCTGTGTGATGCACTCTGGAAGCTAGCTCCATACCATCTAATGACATTTGCTCTGCGACTGTTTAAGGGTTAGGGCTTCGTGTCTCCCAAAGCCAACCAGGGAACGTACTTATCTCGCACCCACCCAGGTTCTAGAGAGAGGGCGGAGGGCGACAACGCGCATGCGCGTTGGTGCACGCAGGCGCAGCCTCGCTTTTTCCGGATCGCCGCCCAGTCCCACCCCACCCCCGGCGTCGATCGTCCCGCCCCCCAAGAGCGACGGAGGCATGCGATTGGGCTCACTGGTTGCCCATCAGATCGGGCTCCCTTCTCCTCAACACAATTGGCAGCCGGGGAAAAGGCCAGTCCGCCGTGGTCTTCCTACCCCTTGGAGTTTCAGCGCCACCG